TGGCAGACACCTTACCAACTGATCATGTCTTCAGCTCCAGCAGGGGATGCTCTGAGAGGAAGTTAGTGTCCTGTTTCTGAGAACCTCTACTTTACAGGGGGTGTCACCTTGAACTTGATCTAAATCTGCTGTTTAAATAAGTTACACAGGTCGTTCCACAGCTGTATTAGATCCTGAAGGACCTGAGCGATTAGTGAAGTTCACGCTGTACATTTCTGTGAGGATTCTGTTCCCAGAGCCTGGGAACACTGTCCCTAATGTGAGTGGCACTAGCCATCATGCTGTTATCCCAGAGCTAGATACCTCTTTCTGGTGGGCGGCCTCCTCCGCGTGCTCCTGCAGCTGAGAGGACTCAGAATCGAGGGAGGCATGGACCACAAACCGAAGCCTCTGACCCTGTGAACTAAAGCAACCCTCTCCTCTTGAAGCTAAATATTGGGCAAAATGGCATCACAGCGACTGCCATGGAACCTGCTAATCCCATGTCTGTGTGCCTGTGTGTTTGTGCAGTGCCTGTGGGGACCACAAGAGGGCATCCCTGGGAGCTGGAGGAACAGGCATTTGTGAGCCACTTAATATAAGGATTCTCTGTAAATACAGTGTATGTTCTTCAGCAGCCGAACTATGCCTCAGCCCCATTGAGTTGCTTTTATAAGGAGCAGTTTTAGTTTTAGATTTAGAGACGTGAATAAAATTTGAATTTTGTCCATCCCCCATCCCACTCCCAAACCACAAGTTTTGTTACTAATATCTGGCCAGTGTAGTGCATTTGTTAAGGTTGAGGTGCTAATATCAAAGCAGTAGAGGTTTTTTTATTGCTTAGTTTTTGAGACAGGGCCTCACTATGTAGTCCCTAGAAGTCTTTGTGTAGCTTGGACTGCCCTTGAACTTGTGGCATTCCGTTTGCTCATTCTGTATATTACACATTTTTTGGGTTCTGACAAACAGAATGGCACCATTTACAATGATGATGTCATCTGGATAGTCTCACACCTATAAAAATTCCCCCTTCATTCATAACAATTCTCTGCCTGTTCATTCCTGTTTCTCTCCCTCAGTCCCCTGCCAACCACTGGCCTTTTTCTTTGTTTTATTTTGATTTTCTGAGATCTCATTGTGTAGCCTAGACTGACCTCAAGCTTTCAATGATCCTCCTGCCTCAGCATCCCAAGTGGTGGGATTACAGATGTGCACTGCCTGCCATGCTCTGCCCTGGTCTTTTTGTTGTCTTTTCTTGAATGTCATACAGTAGACTCTATGAAGCCTCACCAGGTTGACTTCTTTCTCTTACGAGTTCACAAATTTTCCTGTGTCTTCACGGCTCTGTAGCTCAGTTTTGTTTCTCATCGCCTGACATTCCATGTCGGCAGCAGTGTGTTTATGCATTCACCTACTGATGGGCGTCTGGGTAACTTCCAAGTTTGGGCTGTTATAAGTAGAGGTGCTATCCACTTCTGTAGTTTTTGGTTGACACAAATTTGCACCCCAATAGGTAAAAGCAAGAAGTCCAATTGCTCCTTGCCCGGCAACAGTGCATTCAGTTTTCAGAGAGGTCCAGTTAAGTGCGTGGTGGCGCACAGCTGTTATTTCAGCCCTTGGATGGCAGAGTTCACAGTAGACTTCAGTTAGATAATGAGTTCAAGGCCAAACTGGGGTTTCTAAAACAAAAACAAATAAAGCTTAAGGTCACCCTTCTTCATACCATTATGGAACTACCATTTGGAACTACCTGAATAACTGAGAAACTCCCAAACTTGTCTATGGTGGAGAAAACCACATCCTGAGTCAGGAAAGCTCAGGTGCCACTGAGCAGGGCAGCAGTGATCAGGCCTTAGCACCCCTCCACCCACCCAGTGCTTTCCTGGAGGCTCACAGACCCCACAGTACCCCACAGCCATTATGGCCGAAGTAGGGATTGTCTCTGTGACTCCCTGGGGAGAATGTAGCTGAGGAACGTGTGTTTGGGAATGATGAGAGCCTGGCTCTGTGTGTCCCTTTCTTTGCCTGTCTGCTGTTCTGAGTCCAGGCCTCACTCCCAGTCTGTAGAGCAACAGGGTGATGACACCCCTTGGGAGTACCTGGCAGGGTGAGAGTCGGGAGGAGAGTGGCTGAAGGCACTCCTCTCCCCCGGCTCTCCTGCCTCAGGTCTCAGTCACGCCTGTCTGCTCCTCTTCACAGAACTATTCTTGGCAGGATTTGGGGTGAGTCAGTGCATGGGTGAGGAGTATGCATACATACATCAGTGTCCTGGGCCTCTGTGTCTTCTTTTCTTGGTGGCTCAGAGTAAACCTTCTATTGGGACTGGCCACAGGAGATAATGTGACTCATGGACAAGGCTGTCTATGCCAGGGGCCCGGAGACAGGGCAGTTTTCAACAGGCCCAGCCTCACCCCTTTGGGCTTCAGGGTTACAGGTAAGAGGTGATGAGGTACTGTGGGGTCTGTGAGCCTCCAGGAAAGCACTGGGTGGAGGGGTGCTAAGGCCTGGTCCCTGCTGCCCTGCTCAGTGGCACCTGAGCTTTCCTGACTCAGGATGTGGTTTTCTCCATCATTGACAATTTTGGGAGTTTTTCAGTTATCCTGGTAGTTCCGAACCCCAAGCTTGTGTGCCGGGGAAGGAGCTGGTGGGGGTGGGGGTGGGTGTATAGCTGGTCTCAGAAGTACGGAGGGGTCTGAGGTGCCTGTGACCAGAGCTCTGCCCTGCTTCTTCTCTTAGGTGGTACAAGCTGCACTCCAAGCCAGGCAAGAAGGAGAAGGAGCGCGGTGAGATCCAGGTGACCATCCAGTTCACACGAAACAATCTGAGTGCCAGCATGTTCGACCTGTCCATGAAGGACAAGCCACGGTCCCCCTTCAGCAAGCTCAAGGACAAGGTGAAGGGCAAGAAGAAGTATGATCTAGAATCGGCCTCAGCTATTCTCCCAAGCAGCGCCCTGGAGGATCCTGAGCTGGGCAGCCTGGGCAAGATGGGCAAAGCCAAAGGTTTCTTCCTCCGCAACAAGCTCCGCAAGTCCTCGCTCACACAATCCAACACCTCGCTGGGCTCTGACAGCACCCTGTCCTCTACTAGCGGCAGCCTGGCCTACCAGGGCCCTGGAGCTGAGCTCCTCACCCGCTCACCAAGCCACAGCAGCTGGCTGTCCACCGAAGGGGGTGAGCAAGGAAGGGGTGGGCTCTTCCCAGGGGGTGAAGAAGGCCGCGGGCAGAGGATCAGGGCTCTTCTTCCCAGGTGCTGACGCGGTGCATGTTTCCTTTCCAGGCAGGGACTCTACCCAGTCCCCCAAGCTGCTCACCCACAAGAGGACATACAGTGATGAGGCCAGCCAGCTACGGGCAGTTCCTCCCCGGGCTCTTCTGGAGCTCCAAGGCCATCTTGATGGTGCCTCCCGCTCTTCCCTCTGTGTCAATGGGAGCCACGTGTACAATGAGGAGCCTCAGCCTTCCTTACGGCACCGCAGCTCCATCTCAGGCCCCTTTCCACCCTCGACCTCCCTACACAGTGTCCCACCTCGGCCCTCCGAGGAGGGGCCTCGGTCCTCCGATGACTCTGGGGGCAGAGGCAGCCGTGGCCCCAGCAGCTCGGAGGCAGTGCCTGGACAGGAAGAACTGAGTGCTCAGGCCAAAGTGCTGGCCCTGGGGGCCGGTTGCTCTGGAGAGGAAGAGGGGGCCCGGCCTCCAGAGGGAAAACCAGTCCAAGTTGCGACGCCCATGGTGGCATCCTCTGAGGCTGTGGCCGAGAAGGAGCGGAAGCCCCGGATGGGGCTCTTCCATCATCACCACCACCATCACCAGGGGCTGAGCCGGAATGAGCTGGGGCGCCGTGGCTCAGTTGGGGAGAAAGGGAGTCCCTCACTGGGAGCCTCCCCGCACCACCCACCCACTGGGGAGGAAAAGGCCAAGAGTAGCTGGTTTGGCCTGAGAGAATCCAAGGAACCAACTCAGAAGCCCAGGTACATATTTAATAAGGCTACGTTGGCCCTGTGTGGAGGAGGTTGGGTGTTTGCCCTGGGGCCTGAGGCTGGGAGGAGCGGGGAGCAGGCTTCCTGAGCTCTAGCTTTGCTTGGTTAAGTGGGGTATCCTGTCTTCCTGAGCCGAGGCTCATATTGTGCCCACCGACACAGGTGAGTGGTAAGGACACAGTGCCCGGAGGGTCCCATGGGTCCAGGTGGGCCCAGGCCCTGATGCTTGAGTTGGTAGTGCAAAGGGAGAGGGAGAGCATTCGTGTGCTTCCTGGTTTCCTGACCTCAAGGTGAGGAAGCCTTGAGACTGGCGACTGTGCCTGGCTCCGGGGTCTTGCCCCCTTGAGGGACGGGAGTTCAATGGTTACTGCTGCATCCCTCCTCCTCACCCCTAGTCGCTTCCTAGCCTGGGAAGAGACCATAGCAACTCCCTTGAAATATGTCCACCCACCAAGGCCTAGTGTTTCTTGACGCCTGTCGGGAGTGCTGGTGACTGCTGTTGGGAATGTGCCTAACCCTCTCTGTCCCCTGGTCCTGGTCAGAGCCTCTGGCCCCCACCCTGTGTTATTCCGAGATAGGGCGACCGCTGTATTGTTTGGCAGGGCCCTAAGGAGGGTCTCCGTGGGCAGGTCAGAAGTCTGTCTGTGCCCAGCGTTGGTGGCACTCCCACCTGGTGTCTTGAGGCCAGTTGTTTCTCCCCGCAGCAGTCTGCCTCTCTCTCCCATTCAGTGGGCACAGAGGAGGCCGGGCCCAGGTGTGACGATGCTGCATCTGTTTCCCAGCAGAGGGGAAGGGCTGGACCTTACAGCTCTAGATTCGCTTCTTGTCTCCTTCTGTCTTCCATTTTCCTGCTTCTCTGACTCCCGACAGCTTCTCAGACTCCAGAAAATGCAGGTCATTGATGGACAGAAGGAAGAGGGGGTTTCTGTCCTGGCCTTGTTACGGGCCAGGTCCCTAAGCGCCCTGCCTGCCTGCCTTGGGTTGTCTGTCTGTAGGTGGGAGCTTCACAGCAGGCCGTGGGCCAAGCATCCAGGTAGGGCAAGAGGAGCCAGTCACCTTCAGGGACTGTGAGCCCCAGCACTCTAACCCTGGGTGCCTGTAGCAGGAGGGAAAGCTGGCCCAGGAGGAGCAATTGTCAGTTAGAATGCTGGATTAAAGTTCTAGGGAGAAAGCTGAGACACAAGACAGCTCAGGGCATCCCCTGCAGGTTAGAACCAGAACTGCTGTAACTAGTTACAGCTGGAGGATCTCTACCTGCAACCTGGAGAACCAGCCCACAGGCCTTGGGGCATAGGACCCCTGTACCCAGCGGCTACTGTCACAAATCCTCCAAGTTTGAGTAAGGGCAGCGGCGCCCTCTAGTGACTCTGTGTGGCACTTGTGCTCCGTGGAGAGGCATGAGGCTGTGTTACAGAATTCAGTAGCTGCAAGATGATCCTCCTGGTCCTCCTGACACACTGCTCCTCTGTTGACATGTGGCTGTTACCCATGATCTCTACTGATGTGAGGCTGAGAGGAGTCGGAATGGACAATGCTCATCTGGGCTGCAGGACCTGCTGAGCATTGGTCTGTGCCGTGTCTGTGCCCTGTGCTTGAGTTAAGATAGGCCACACATGTTAGGTCCTCCTGTGCCAGGGTGCCTTGTTTTTTGTTCCTGTCTCCCACAGCAACCTTTGAACACAGGAAGGGATCAAATACTAATGCAAAAATATATTTAACTTAGGGGGAAATCTGGTGCAACAGAGAGCCAGGGGTGTTAGCAAATGGCATTTAGCACTGGTGTCTGCCCAGTCTCTCCAAGGTATGGCAGACAGATGGTGGTGGTTGTAGAAAGAGTGGGTCATCTGAGGTGCCCTCTGGCTGGTGTCAGCATATTTCCTGTCCTATCTGGGTGTCTCTTTTCCCAGAATTGTTACTCTGTTAGCAGTGATCTGGTTTGAAGGGTGTTAGGAGCTCTGCTTAAGCTTAGAAGGCCCCTCGGTGTCTCCTCGTTTGTCCTGATGGTTTAGGATAAGCGCACCTCCTGGACATGTTTCCTGGGAGTTGGGGCACATCTTAGGAGGTGTCAGGAGCTTCCAAAGCTCAGGAGGGATGTTGGCCGGGGGCATATTAACTACAGGTAGTGTCTCAAAGGCTGGCTTTAGCCTTTGAGGACTGGCAGGCAGGGCTTCATAAAGCCACTTGCCACGCCCGTGACAAGTGTATGGAACACAGAGCGCATCTCATCCCAGGAAGCCCCAGCTAGTGGAGAAATCTGCTTTCTCCAGAGATGGCCCCAGGGTGTGGTTTTAAAGAAGGTGGCACATGCCTGCAATCCCAGCACTCAGGAGGCCCTGGCAGGAGGATTGCTGTGAGTCTGGGGCCAACCTGGGCTCCATAGAGAGACACTATCTCAAAAAACTTGAAAGGAGGGTGGGTGGAGAGAAGCATTGCAGTGAATCAGTGATTGACATCAAGTGGCAGGTCAGCCAGTTGTCCTAAGGTTCCCACAGGCCCTGAAGCTTGTTTCCGTGGGTTGAAGGGACAGGGCTGCTTGGCGTCTCACTTCTCTTCCCAATAGTTGGCCCTGAGGGAGACAAATCAGCATGTGTTGTGCTCTCCTTGGGAGGGGGAGGCTGTACCAGGCTGGCTGGATAGGCTCCCGGGTGCAGGGATGTTCTCAGGACACAACCTGCACAGAGGACCACAAAGGAATGCTCTTCTGCTGCCCTGCGCCATGTGCAGTGGTAGGCAGGAGCCATGACCTTCAGAACATGTGCTTGGCTGCTGTAGGGATGGCTCAGCTGTTAAAGGCTAAGCTTATAACCAAAAGAATGTGTGTCTGGTGTGGAGCAGGAAAGTGAAGATGGAGAGGCTCTGAGGGCGAGAACAGGCAGGGGGTTAGCAAGCCCTGCTGGCTCTGGGAAACCTGCTGGGCCTGCTGCCTAGAACCCTGGCCTCAAGAGAGAGCCCTTTGCTGATTCCATACCAACCGCTTTGTGTGCATCTCTGGGGAGCCACGGTGGGGAGGAGGCTGCTGACAGAGCCTGGGGCTCCTGGTGCCCTTCTCCCTGGAGTGTGACTGGCAGCAGACTGCTGTGAGCCCGAGGGTGAGTGTGTGCATGTGTGGGGGGGGTTGTCAGGCAGGGCTGATCCTGCTGCTGTGCCATGTTGATGGGGTCACCAGGGCTACCATCACGAGAGGCCTAGAGAGAGGCTGCGTTGTTCAGAGTCCAGAGCGCCCCAGCCCTGTTCCTGGGATGCAGCTTGAGTGCTATGGATGCTCCAAGCATGGTTGTGATCCAGATGGGGGTCGGTATGTTGCCTCTCATTCCCCTAACTTCCAGGAGTAGACCTGTGCCTCTGCCCTGGGACCTGCCAGGAATGAAGGGAGAGGAGACATTTGTGGGAGTTGGGACCCCAGGCACAGAGTTCTCCCCTTTCAGTGTCTTCCGCCTGTCTGGAGAAGCAGAACAGTGCTGGGAGCTGGAGGTGGGACATGAGACCTTTGTCTCCCTTCCCTCTCCATCTCTGCCTAGAGGTGGGACCAGACTGAGAATCTACCCTATTCTAGGGGAGAAATTAAGGTCACAAGAGTCTTTGAAAGCTGGGTATTTTAAAATTACCTTTTGTTGTTGTTTTATTTTGAGACAGGGTGTCACCCTGTAGCTCTGGCTGCCCTGGAGCTTGTTATATAGACCAGCTGGCCTCAACTCAGAAAAATCTCCTGCCTCCTTGTGCCTCTGCTTCCCAAGTGCTGTTTAAAGGTGTGCACCACCACGCCTAGCCTTTATTTATTTTTTCTCTTTAAAGACAGGGACTCAATCTATCACAGATTGCCTTTGAACTTGCTATGTATTGAGGATGACCTTGGTCTTCTGGTCCTCCTCCCCAGTGCTAGGATTACGGGCTTGTGCAACCATACCTGGTTAATGCAGTGCTGGGGACAGGACCCAGAGCTTCATGCATGTAGGGCAAGCATGCTGCCACCTGAATTAGAGCCCCAGCCTCCTTTAAAACGTTTTGGTTTATTAAGACAAGGTATCATGTAATCCAGGCTGACTCTGTAGGTGAAGATGACAGCATGCTTCTGATCCTCCTGCTTCCACACCCCCAATGCCAGGGTGTGCACCACCTCGTTCAGCCCTGAAAGCTCAGTTCCTAGGAGAATCTGACCGCGTCCTGCTGAGGAGGCTCACCTCTTCCTCCATGCTTGTGTTTGGAGCCTCCTCTGCCTTGGTGGACCTGGACTCTTTCCTGTTGCTTATCAGGCCCTATGTCCAACCTGCCTAGTCTAGACCTTGAGTTCCTGCAAGAGCGTGGCAAGCCCCAGACAGCTCAGCCTCTACCCTCCTGCCACAACCCACTTCTGCTCGTGACTGGCTTGCAGAGCTGCCTCGGGTCACCCCCAGTACTTTCTGGGAAGTTGCTGGTTGAGTGGGAAAGATGGATAGGAGGAGGTTCCCTGGATGCTCTCATTTAGGTAGGAGGGGGGAAGTCAGAAGGTCCCAGGAACCTGGAGAACTGAAAAGCTGCCTGTGAGGAGGAACCCTGCTGGATAGCAGGGGTGAGGCTGCCAAGGTTGGGGTCTGACTGCCAGCCAGGCCACTGCCAGTCTGCTCACACTGGGGTGTTTGGTTTGCTTTCCTCTCTTCTTGTGTTCTAGACTCTGTCTGTCCTGGGGAAGCGAAGGCTCTTAGTTCAGTGTGTACCCCTTGATCTCATCTCCAGAGGCTGGCCCACAGAGGGGTCAAGTGAGGGTGCTGCCTGCTGGCAGGTGTGCCCGCAGATACCAGGTGCTCCTTAGCCAGTTCTTCTGCCCCCTCCCCATGAAACGAAAGGGGTGAGCTCTCTCGGACACCTTGTCATGCCTGATGACAGCGCCATCCTTACCCTTTCCTGCAAGAGCTCGGTGGGACATAGTCTCTTTCAGTTTGCAGTCCCGGGGACCTTGCTTGGTTCTCTCAGTGCTGTCTTTGTCCATGAGCTCTCCCGGGATCCTTCCCTTTGGTACCTCATAAGAGTGGGCTCTTCCTTCATTTGGTCCCTGGGTCATGTGGCTGCAAATAGCCCGTGTGATGGTGTGGCACCTGGCCTGGAGGTGGGGGTAGGGATGGTACTTGGCAGGGCTATTTCCAGTCTTAGCATTAACCAGGAGGCTCATGGTTTTGTCTTCTCCACAGCCTGGACGTGTCTCCTCAGGTAGAATCTGACCCAGCTGCTCCTCCTCACCCCTGCTCCCCCCAGGCTCCGGCCCCCCCCACTCCTGCTCCCGCTGCTGCTCCCATGCTAAGCACTAACCTTTTTGCAGCCACCTCCCCTGCCGCTGCCACTGCCGCTGCTGCCACCATTGTCCCCGAAGCCACCCCCTCTGGATTCTTGGGGGTCACCAACCCGTTCTTCACCTCCTTGCAGAGCAACCCCTTCTTCGAGGAGCTCAAAGCCGACATAGCACTAAATTCTCCTTCACCTGCTCCCTCTCTCCCCAGTGCCTCGAGGGCCAGCCTGGCCCCCCTGGCCTCCCCTGGGAAAGCCCTGCCTGAGTGGGACGACACCTTCAACGTCTTTGCTGCTGGCAGGCTGCAGCCAGAGGCCAGGAGTGAGATTCTGGCCCTGGCAGGAGTGGGGCTGGAGGAGGATGGGCTGCAAGACCCAGGCCCTGGGACCATGGCAGTGAGAGCGGCGGAGCCCCAGAGAGAACCTGGGGGAGAAAGAGGTGGAAGCAGCGCGCGGCCGGAGCCCAGGGTGCCTGTGGACTCGGGACCGGACCAGCCAAGCTCAAGTGTGTCTGACCCAGGACCCCTTGGGTCTTCAGGGACTGGCCCACCCTCCAGAGCAGCCCAGTTGCACCTGAGAACTTCAGCCTCAACCCCAGACCGGGAGCTTCCTGCCTCAGAAGTGGGAGCCGCGCAGAGTCCAGCAGATAGCGGGGCATCTCTGTTCAGTTCCCCAGAAGTACTCAGTGTGTGGGAGAGACTTCCTGGGGACCAGGATGAGGAGGCTCCCCGAGATGGAAGCCAGCTTTTCCAGGAGCTGAACACAGTGGAGGATTCCTGGCCTTGGGATGTGATCACCATTTCTCCTACAGCAGAGGTTGCTTCATCCATCATGCAGGGAGACTCCGATGAGGTGCCTCCTCCCAAGGCGCAGCCTGAATCACCAGCTGCCGTGCGCCCCATGGAGAGCGAGGGGCACCCTGCATGGCAGCTGGAGCCAGAGCCTGAGCAGGGATTGGATGAGGGGTCATGGCCTGGCCTGCCACCTCCCAAGCCACCACGCCTCTTCACACCTACAAATTCCCAGGTGGAGGAGGAGGAAGAAGAGGAGGACCAAGAGGAGGAAGAGAATGCTACAGGGGGTCTGAAAAGCGGGGGGCCAGGGATAGAAGAAGACACCACCCCAAGTGCATTGGTTGTTGGTCCCCCAGAGTCTAAGGAGGAGGAGGTAAATCCAGAGTTGGAGGAATTGCACAGCCTGCCCTCTGGGACCCTGATGGGTGAGCCAGAACTTGAAGAACTAGTAGGAGACACGGATCCTCCTGGGTCTGGGGCCTGTCCACCCAGGCCCACCAGCTACCTTGAGGGGCCCATCCCTAGATCCCATAGCTCAGCCAGCTCAACTCTGCTGAGCCAGATGGTCTGGGGGACTTCAGATACAGGGGAGAGCCTCGAAACCCAGAGCCAGGAGCTAGTCAAAGAGGGGTTTGGACCTCAGCAGGCTGATCTGTGGGCCTCAGAGGAGGAGGAGGAGGATGCCTTGAATCCCTTCTTATGTCAGGAGAGCCAAGATCCCCCCAGCCTCCCATCTATATCACCACCAGGGTCAAGGGGATCCTCTGTCCACTCTGGTCCAGAAGAGTTGCCCACACCCCCAGAACCTGCCTTCCCACCTCCCCCTCTCCCACCGTGGGCCAGCCACCGCCATGGGGTGCCAGGCCCTCCATGCCCTCCCCTGCCTGTAGCCTGGCCCTTGACCTCTTCTTCCTCCCCTCCCGAGGAGTCAGCTTCACCCCTTGGCCCCCTTGAGCTCTCCCCCACTGGGGGCTCCCCTACACCATGTGGGGAAGACCACGCTGCAGCCACCCCAGCCTCCCCGCTTGCGCTTCTGCCCTGGGAGACACGACCAGCTGAGGAGCCCCAGCCCAGTGGCAGGTGAGCATCCACTCAGAACCCTTCCCAGGAGGAAAGGGGCGGGGCATAGTGACACAGGAGTAGAAATGCTGCCCAGCCCAGCTTCATCTTCGCCAAGGGCACATGGTAAGGGTCTGCTCTCTTTGGAGGCAAGTGGTGAAGGCTTCGAAGCCACGAGCTTTGGTAGGACCAGCTCTGAAGCTCCTCATTTTATGTATAGGACCTTGCACCATCTGGGGTGGCCCCACAAGCTGGGGGTTTGGGAAATAGCACCCAACAAGGATAGGGGTTGAGGAATGAGGTTCAGGGGAGTCAACATGCCCTGGCAGGAGATGGGAGGGAAAGCTGCATGTGCTGCACAGAGATGCCATGGTCGGGGGAGTGGGGTTCCGCAGAGGGGCGATTCTTCTTCAGGCCTTGGGTGTATTAACAGGTGGCAGTGGTCCCACAGCAGATTCCTGTCCAGACAGGGTGAAGAAGCAGAGGGCTGGCCTTAGAGGAAGCTGAAGACAGGCTCGGAAGAAAGGAAAGGGAGCTGTCCTTAAATGCTTTCCCCACCCATAACCCTTAGGAAAGGCTGTCCAGCTGCAGCAGCTGCCTCACTGGCTTGCCTTGTCGTTGGCTTTCTGGGCTGGGCTCCTATCTATTTAGGGCAGCTGAATGGACAGCTGATGCCTGTGTGGCTGTGGTCTCTATGGCATTAGGCCTTGGGCAGAACAGAGAGGCCAAGACCTCACCAGAGGCGTTGATGAGGTGAGGGTGATGAGAGCAGAGGTCGGGGGCCCTGGGATCAAGTCTCAGTGAGTGTGACGTAGCAAGGGCGGCAGAGTTCAGAGGGGCCTGATCGAAGGCGGCTGGGCCAGGTGAGGTGGGGGTGCTCCTCAGACCTAGCCCTAACCTCTGTGAGGCCCCCAGCCTGCTCAGGCACCTGCTGGCTCATGTTCAGTTGCTCGGGTTGCTGAGCATCTGTTTTGTGCCAGACCCAACGAATTCCTAGTCCAGGTGGGTGAAGAGGGAGATTTCAGTGAGGAAAGGCGGTAGGGCCTGCCGGTGACTCCCAAGAAATCAGGTCAGGGAGGGAATTTGACTCCCTAGAGGTGGATGGGGCTATGCCCCCCTGTGGGGAGGAGCTGGTGGCTCTGGTTTCCTCATTTCCTGATGACAGTGTCTTCCTCTGACCCATGTCTTGCAGTACAGCCTCTATTTATACTCACTACTTACAGGGTTCTTTTTCAGAACTGCTTTCATTTCATGTCTATATGGAGCATGACCTTAAAGTGATGGGTGCCCAGAGTTGTTTCCATTTCTCAGATGAGCGGGGATCAGGCTGAGGGCCCAGCACTGCAGCTACTTCCTGGGGGGGGGGTACCTCCATGCGTCTAGGGGTGACCGTTCAGACAGGTGGCCTTAGAGCTACTTTCCTGCCATCTGCAGTGCAGACCCCAAGGTGACAGGACTGCTGTGCCCTGTGTGGGGACTTGATGTGCTTTCATGTTTGTGAGACTAAAGACCAGCCCTGTCCTGAGGAGCAGAGCTGATTCTTGGGCTTGGCCTGAGCCTAAGTCAAGGCTGAGGCTAAGTGGCTTTGCTTCCCATTCATTGCCTGAAGGCCTGAGGCCCCTGTAGGGTGAGAGTGGATTTCTGAGGTTCCCCAGGGTCAGGTGAGCTGATTTATGGGCCTGCTGCTTACAACATACATAACTAGGTGCTAAGGCACCCCAGGAGAGGGTTATCTTAGCTTCAGGGAATCAATCGGCTTCCTGGAGGAGGTGACCACTCCTAGTTTTGAAAGAGTAGTGAGAACTAAGATTTTGGAAGGAAGGGAAGTACCCCCAGGTAGAGGTGTGTGTGTGTGTGTGTGTGTGTGTGTGTGTGTGTGTGTGTGTGTGTGTGT